GATTATTAATCGTAGCTCGTTTACCCCGTTGTTATCCTTCTTCCACAACGCTTAGTTTAGTAACAGAAAGCTTTGCCTTTTTTTTTTTATTCATTTTCCTTATTTTTTCTTTTTGTTTCACCAACGCGACAAGATAAACAAGGATTTTTTCTCTGTGCGCCCTTCAAGAGTAAATAAAGTAGCTTTTACAAAAAGTCAACTTATATATACATATATATATATATATATATTTGTGTAGGTTGAATCTGTACTTGAGACAAGTAAATATTTCCGATGTGAATTTATACTTAAGAAAAAGTACTAGCTCTATATATCTATCTTCTTCATAGTTATTTTATTCCTTTATTTAATATACTTTATCAAAAGAACTTTTTTTTTTTTTACATTACTTTACTTACCAAACTCTGTAAATTATGAATATTTCATAATAAAGTATATTAACGTTTCTATCGTTTCCGTTAAAAACGTTTACTTAGTTTCTTTTTAAATGAAAAATTCATTTATGTTACTACTAACAACCACAAACCATTTTCAACCTTTTACTTTATTTTTTTTTTTTTTTTTTTTTAGTAAATTACTGTAACCTGAGATATCGCGAGAGTAGCCACGGTTTATCGTACTTACGTGTTATTATTCAAATCTGAAGTGATTTGACTGATAATATAATATGACGGGCTAGTTTTTTCAATTCTTATTTTGCATCAGGAGTATATTATTTGAAAGATACTTTCTTAGAAATTGATCATAATGTTTGATTGAATTTTAACATTTCTTTTATCTGTACTTATGTTGATACATATAAATTAAGTATACTACACGTATACCGTTGCTCATTTATCTTATAATATATGGAGATATATAATTTGATAAGTTTTGTGATAATAAACAAGTAGATCTGATACATATATAGAAAATTATTATATTTTTATTTTATATATATATATTTATATAATTGTAATATTAATTTAATATTTAATTAATTATTATATATATTATATAATATATAATATATATAATTTAATATAATAATATAATATATATATATTTAGAAAAAAAAAAAAATAATAAAAATAATACACACTTTAAAAAATAATTCTTTCACATGTTATTTTCAAGCATAACTTTTCGAAATAAATAATAT